GGGGCCTTGGCCGGGCCGGGGCGCCGGGGTCGCGGTGCGGGGAGGCTCCGGGCGGCGGCGGCGTGCAGCCCGGAGCGGGCTTTGAAACGGCTTTTTCTTCTGCTGCTGGGAATTTCCCAGCTTTTTTTTTTTCTTTGTTTGTTTTTACAAGTGGAAAACCTAAATGGCAAATGCACTTCCCTGTGCGTTCCCACACGCCGTGCCGGTTTACGCTGTCGCTTCATTTTTTATGCCGTCTTTCCCCGCCGCTTTCCGCGGAGAACGCGCGGCGGCGCGAAGGGAGGGATGGCACGAAGGGAGGGATGGCACGAAGGGAGGGATGGCAGCTCGCGGCGGCAGCCCTCTATCCATCCCTGCCCGCTTCCCGGTGCCGGCCGCGCGTCCCTGCACCTGCCTTGGAGGGAGAGCTGCTCCCGAAGCAGCGTCGTTCGGGGCTGCTGGCTGTGTGCCTGCCCCTCGCTGCTTACGCTCTTTGCCCCGCAAACGCTGCGTGGAGAAACGGGCATAACGGTGCCGGGAAACAAGCCCTGGGTCTCCTGGCTGCTGCTTACAGGCCGCTTGAGAGACGCGTGGTACCGCGAGCAGAGCCTGAAGCCTTGACGTGGCCTGGCGGGTCGGCAGAGCAGTGCCCCCGGTTCCCGCGGGCTGTTGTCCTCGCCCACCGTCATCGTCATCTTCCACGCTGGGTGGCTGCTGCCCTGGCCTGGCGTTGTGGCCGGGGGGTGAGCAGGGCCCCCTTGGAGAGGGCAAGGGCCACTTCTGCGAGTTCAGAAGTGTGTGGAATGTCAGAGTAAGAGCAGAGGAGCGGAAGGGGCTGGAGGAGAGGAGGAAAGGGCTCGGGAGGAGGAGTGCTTGAAAAAGTCCTCTCTGAAGAAGTCGGTAGGGTTCTCAAATGGAAAATTTGCATGGTCTTCTCAGGAGTTGCTGGGCTAAATTTGGAAAACAAAATTGGTCTTTAAAGTGCAAAACAGAGGGGTTTCAGTCTGCCTTTCAATGCAAATCTCGGTGCAGCCTGAGCTGTGGACTTGCTACTGACGCCTCCATACTACATATTAATCCAGTTTTATCTGTCATGAGAAGATTTGTTGATTAGAAGCCTGTAGGTAAAGACTGTTCATGGGCTATTGCTGTTGCTTCGAGCCTGTGGGCTGGAAAAATTATCTCCATGGCTCGCCTGGAGCTCCTGGGCTGTGCCTAGTCCTGCTGCCACTCTCTTCTCGGCATCCAGTTTGCTTTTCATAAACAGACATTTGGCAGATGATTTATGTAGATTTTTGTGCGGAGATGGATGACTTCTAGAGCAAACAAGGTCTTCCTGTAACAGTTACAGAAGTTAATTTGTGATATTGATGGGAGAAAGTCAACACAACGTGAAATGGGAGGGGAGGAAGAGCTAGTAGAAATACCACTGTTCTAGCAGCTCTTAGTGATGTTTCCCTTGGTATGGAATAGGAAGATTCTTCTGAGGACTTCTGCAAAGCAAGGGCACTTTTTGAGATAGTGGGCTGTTGCATATTTAAAGTGAGTTTCCTCCTTGAAGCCCCCATCTCCGAGCTCAGGCAGTGCTTAACTGTCCTGGTTTCTCTCTGCTTACACTTGTTTTGAGTTGCTGACGGACGTTAATGGCCAAGGCACCTCATAAGAGGAGTTTCTGCCTTGTTATTGCTTTTGCTTAGCAGTCCTGCACTGTGCACACAAACATATTCATTCTTATGTCTCTCTCCTTTCTTTTAGTTTATTACTCTGTCCATTTAAAAGTGCAAAGTGATAGTAGGGCCCGAGTAATGTTGGTAGACTATTTCTGTGCTTTGCTTCTGTTACTTTTGCTAGCAACTACAACTTTATTGATTGGCACAATCAGTTATTAATACGGTAAAACTGGAAACTGCGTTTGTGAAAGCCATCGTGGCGTTAAAGGGGCGTGTGTGTCTGTGATCTCAGTCCTCTCTGGAGTGTTTATTATTTGCAGGATAACTAGAGATAACATGGGCTTGCTTTCTTCCCTGCTTTCCTCTCACAGTCCCCCATGCTATGTGGGAGCTTGAGCTGAGATCTAAAGCGAGTCGAAACCAAGGTATTTTTCTTCAGGGATCGGCTTTTCTTCAGTAATTGCTCGGCTTGTTTTGCGATCATTTTGATCTGAAGACATAAAGAAGAGCCAAGCAGAAGCAGTGAGCAATATTGAGTGACATTCTTGGGAACAAACATGAAGTGGGAATGCTGAAAACAAGCTGGCTTCATGCTTGAATCATCTTCTTTGTAGGTGCACTGCAACTATCTGCGGATTTGCTTTTTTCCCACCACAAATGTTTCAGTTACCCACTCTGTTCCTGAAAGAAGTCCCTTGCTTGATAACATGCTAACTAGTTGAAAAAAGAAAATTATAGCCCCTTTCTTTGTTACAACGTATGCCTGTATAATGAGAGAGAATATCCCGTCCTTTAACGGGCGGGAGTCCAGGAGGGATGGGAGGGCTGCGTCTTGGTGTTGGCGCTCTGCTCATCCTCTCTTCTCTTCTGTTTGCAGGTTCTGTTCGCTGGGATGGCGTCAGCCCTACCCAGAACCCTTGGGGAATTGCAGCTGTATCGAATACTGCAGAAAGCAAATCTCTTGTTCTACTTCGATGCCTTCATTCAGCAGGGTGGCGATGACGTGCAGCAGCTCTGCGAGGCAGGCGAGGAGGAGTTCCTGGAGATAATGGCTCTCGTGGGCATGGCTAGCAAGCCGCTGCACGTCCGGAGGCTGCAGAAGGCTTTGAGGGACTGGGTCACGAACCCTGGTCTTTTTAACCAGCCTCTCACGTCCCTCCCGGTCAGTAGCATTCCCATATACAAACTGCCAGAGGGGTCTCCCGCGTGGCTGGGGATATCCTGCAGTAGCTACGAGAGGAGCAGCGGCACCCGGGAACCCCACCTGAAGGTTCCCAAATGCGCGGCGGCGCCGTGCGCGCAGAGCGCGGGCGCCGGCAAGGCCGAGGTGGCCGGGGGGCTGTCGCTGCAGAGCGGCAGCGAGCTGAGGCTCTGGCAAGGACAGCACACCGCAGAGAGCGAGCACAGCCTCTCCCCGGCCGACCTGGGCTCGCCGGCTTCGCCCCGGGAGAGCAGCGAGACCCTGGACGCCGCCGCCGCGCTGTCCGTGGCGGAGTGCGTGGAGCGAATGGTGCCCGCCTTGCCCAAAAGTGACTTGAACGAAGTCAAGGAGTTGCTGAAAACAAATAAGAAACTGGCAAAGATGATCGGTCACATCTTTGAGATGAGCGATGAGGACCCTCACAAAGAGGAGGAGATCAGGAAGTACAGTGCAATATACGGCAGATTTGACTCCAAAAGAAAGGATGGCAAACACCTCACCCTCCATGAGGTAAAACCCCTTGAGCTGAAGCGAGCTTTTTTCCCCGTTCTGTTTATGGGATACGCTTTCCACACAGGTATTTCTTACTGAGTAATGAGAATTTTGTGTCTGCGAGGGCCATAGGCAGCCCTGCCCCGGAACAAAGTCCCGGGTGCGGCAGGACTGCCCTTGCCTGGGTGTGCGCCGCTGATGTCAACTCTGTGTCATTCGGAGTGCTCAGGCACCCGCACGGGTCCTCAGCCGGGCTCGAAGCTGCTCCACACGGAAATAGCAAGCAGGGTTGTACAGGCTTTTTGCTGTTTTTTTTTTTGTTTGTTTGTTTTTCTTCCCTGAGAATCTAAGCACTTGGCATGTTCCCAGAGCAGTCCTGTCTTCAGAGTTCCCCTGGCTCAGTTAATACCTTGCTGTCTTCCCTCACCTGCAGGCCTTGCACAAAGTAAAGAGAATTCTGCCACCGAGGTCCCCAAATGGGGTTATTTTCCTGGCCTGGGCTGGAGCTTTGTTGAGGCATGGCTTTGTTTCTGTGTGCGTGGTGCTCTTGGGCAGGCAGGTGAAGTGCAGGCAGAGAGCTGTGAGGAGGGACCATCCCCAGTACGGAGGGTGCCCATAGCCTGCACGCTGGTCCCGTGTCCCCTTCTCCTCCTAAAAAAGCATGCGGGCTGCTTCATTCCTTGCCTTGCTTTCTTGAAGCTCATGCTGCATGTGTTGCAATGCAATAGGTGTGTCTGTGTTGGGAACGGTTCCCTGGTGCTGAAGCACACAGCACAAGAGCAGAACAAACATTAATTCAGAGCAGTGCCAAAGCACTGCTGATAGGAGTGCTGCATCAGCATTTTTTGTAGTGAAGTGATTGCAAAATTTCAGTTGGTTTTTAAAATTTGGCATGTAAGGCTTAGCTCCCACAGGAGAGGCAGTGTTTAAGTTCCAGGAGGGGCAGAAAGCAGTGCTGGTTTTACACCCTTTCCCACTTCAGAAGGAAGCCTTGTATACTCTGTGCTATTTGTGGAGTGGATTCTCCATATGCTCCTGAGAGAAGGACAAAAGGCAGTGACTTTGCCAGCAGTTACTGGCTCTCTGCTTCCGTATTTCGCTTGCAGAGCAATTGCCCATCGCCAGCAGCGTCTTCAGAGGACTCGTCACCCCGAATGAGGGGGCCCTGGCACGGTGCTAGCAGCCAGCAGCACGTCTGTGCTGCACGTCCTGCAGATCCAGAGCTGCGGGAAGGAGGAGCGCTCTCCTCCGCGGCCCTGGACATCCTCCCTGCAGCGTGTCCAGAACTGCGGCGAGAGCGTGGCCGGCCTTCGGGAAATGGGGCTGTCGCTGGCTCTGGTGAAGGGCACAACATCAAAGGAAAACGCCTTTGGCTTCTGCCTCTGTTAGGCATCTGCAGGGCTGCTTGAAGCTTGGTGGGAACTGCACGTGTGCCAGGAAGAATTTGCTCATAAGGCATTGTTTTTTTTTTTTTTTTTTTCTTTCTTTTTTTTTTCTTTAAGGCATATTTCACAAGGCTTTCTCTTCAGCAGCCTGCTTTCCATTTCCATTTTAAAGCAGTAAATATACAAAAAAAATTACACATGGCCAGTGAGACCACTATTTTTTTTAACTTACTTTTTACTTTTACTTACTTTTTTAAACTTACAGACATTGCCTTTTGCAAATTCAGCTTTAGTGACTCTTGATTTGCAATGACTTTTAAACAATTCCCCAGGGAAGGAGGGACCTCCGACAAGCAGGAAGGTGAGTTCCTGCTTGCCCTCGTACTGTGTTCCCACGTGTGTTGATACATTCCACGCCTGTCTCCCTGCCCCACAGTCAAGGTTTTTCCTTGCAGCTGGCAGCGAACAACTGAATAAAGTTTGCTGTGAATTTAGAAGACTTAAGGAGTATATGGCTTCCGAATGGGAAGGTCACGGCACTCCTGGCTTTGTGAATGGAGCTGCGTGCAGCTGCAACCCAAACGTGGTGGGGTTCTTGCTGGTAAACGCTGAGGTTGCTGCTGCCTCTGCGCTGTAGTAGGAGTGCTCGGACCCACCACGAGCCCTCAGTTGCCGCTGGGAGTCAGCGAGCCCTGGGTCTTTTAGTTGGTTCGAAATCCGAGCGGTTTTGTAGGAATAGCTACATCCAAAGCAGATCTAGAGCAAAATCTGACATAGAATCTTTGGGACAAAGAAGTTCCCGAACTAATAAATAGTGTCTTTAATCGTGGACCCATTGCTTCGGTACTGCCTCGCTTTTCTCGCGTGGAGAGCTCTTGGTGTTTTAAATTGCACCGCAGAAGCGTGAGTACGAGGCTTGCCCTTGAACTCAGTGACTCTCGAGTGTTTGAGTCAGAGCTGTAATTGCCATGTTAATGTTTCAGCACTTGTCTAGCTACCTATAAAGCAGAATGAAATCCTACTTAAGAGACACGGTTTGGGAAATGGGAATGAGAAATGCAAGCAATGAATTTTTTCTAACTCGGTGTCTTCCTTGTCTTCTGCTGACTCACCAAAATGAGTGCTTGCCATTTATTAATGTGTTTTTAGTGGGGGAACCTGAGAAGCCAATTAGGTGGGAATCCGTGCAGTGTATATATATCCCTCTCAGTAGAGTTTCTATGGTTATGTACAACTCTGTATCATTAGGGTTTGCAGTGAAGGGAACAGTATTTTTAGTGGCTCTTCCTAGCTGTAGTATTATGTCCCCTGAAAAGGGAGGAAGCACCGTGTTCTGCAATGTAAGTCTTAATGCAACCTGGAAGAAGAAACCAGGAAAAAAACAAACAAGCATTGGGCTTTTCTCATGTGTTTGATAAACAGAGTTTGCATACATGTACCCAAAGCATTTTCAGGTTTTTCTGTTGTTTACAACCTCTGAAAACTTCAGCAAGGTGTACAAAAATAGCCTGAGCTATTTTGCAAGCATTAGCCATATTATCCTGTGCAAAGTAACGGCTGTTGCTACTACAAAAATTAATACAGACTTTGGGTAGCAATTGTTTTTATTTGTGTTGTTTTAATGCTTTGTGTTGTTTGCTTGCTTTTATTCTTCCCGAAAAGATGGACATTGTAGAACAACTGCTGCTTCTTAATAGATAATAATTGTTACTTTGCTACACTATTATAGAAGCACAGTAATGAGGAGATGTTCCGCACATTAGAGCTAAACTTTCCAGCTTTATACATCTGCTTTCTGTGAGTTTTCATCTCTGCAGGGTTGATGGGATCAGGCAGCATTTCCAGCTTTTATATTAAAAGACATGTTTTCATTGTTATTAGCAATCGGACGTCACAGGAAATGTACTAATCACGTCAGATGCTTTTATGTCAAGCAGGAAAAAATGCTTATAAAACAGCAGGAGCGTGAATTTTGTGTGAGTTTTTCCTAAATTCTGCATAGGCAGTTGCCGTTGAGAGTCTCGGAACGCGGGGTGTTTGTCCCTGCCGCCGCTCACCGGCTTCCAGAGAGCAGGGCTCGGTGGCTGCTGGCCGCCTCCCACAGTGCTCCTTCTCAGAGCATTGCAAAGCTCTTTCCAGCCTTAACCTAGGGCTGTTTTTCCTGTCATTGCCTCTTTACAAAGTTGTTGTCGACAGCAGAGGCTCTAGAAATGTGTCCCAGCAGGCTCAGGAAAACATCCTTGAAACAAGCTACATTCAGTTCATGTCTGAGGATTGTCTTCGCAAACGGAAGGGTGTGAAACATAGCTAAAAAAAGTTTAATCGTTTCTTAAACCATCACCTTCTGCAGAATTTATGCCGTATTCACCAGGGAAAGCCATCTGTACCCACACTGTCAGTAGTGTGTTTTTTTTTCTTTTTTTTTTTTTTCCCCAAGTCCTGGGCATATTGCATTTATAAAAATAGTATTCCCTGTAAATGAGGCTTTGGGAGCCAAACCCTGTGAACGTTCGGAGCTACTGTTTTGTACTGAAATTTAATTAATTCTGGGATTAGGCGCAAGCAGTGCATGGTGAGTAAGCCTTACCACAGCATTTAAAGGATGTTAAGGTTTCCAGCTGTGTGTGTGTGTGTGTGTGTGTATATATATATATATCTTTCCAGAGGCTGATTTTTGGATTGAAGAATCCTTTCAGGGTTCAGTATACAATTTTAAGTCATTTCCCTTTCCCCTGAAATCTTTTGTTACTTTGGAAGACCAGCTACGTTGACAAGCACCACAAGCTGTGATGCTGAAGCTCTGTGTTTGTGTTTCACCCCCAGCTCACGGTGAACGAAGCAGCGGCCCAGCTGTGTGTGAAGGATAACGCCTTGCTGACCAGGAGGGATGAGCTCTTTGCGCTGGCTCGGCAGATCTCTCGAGAGGTTACCTACAAGTACACTTACCGGACCACCAAGTAAGGCTTTCATCAACTCCAGGGACCTTTCCCAGAGCTACTCAATTGGATAGCATTCCTTGTGGAGCGGTACCGACCCCTTCTTCCTGCTCTCAAGTTAGCAAAGTGCCCCTTTTGTACGTGCTGTGTAAGCCGTAAAGCTTTCAGACTGCTAAGATTCACTGTTCTGAGTTAGGTTTTCTATATATTGCTCAGCTTTCCAGATTTTGCAATGGACTAGCATGCTGAAAGGCATCTGAGAGGCTGGCGTTTGAAGTTCTTAAGGCATTTGTTCACTTCAAGGTTAATGTAAAAGGGCTTCGGAATATATATTTTGGCATTTTTGTTTTGTTTTGATTGATTGGTTGGTGGTTTCCAGGGGATCAAAAAGGTAAAGGCCACAGGGGAGGCCTTAACTCCCTTAAGCAGAACCAAGGGGGAGTCCTAATTTCAGCTGTTAACGTTTGGTGACCCGCTTTTCAAAAAAGTAAGAGGGTTGATATCCCTTTTAATCAATGAAAACGTTAGATCTAATAAATACAATGAAAAGTCCTGATAGTTTCTGAGGGTTGCTGTTAGCTATCAACATATAGTTTAAATATTTCAGATATGTTTTTCCACAGTTCTAGCAATTGTAGTTGCTAGTAGTTTCCTTTCTTCCCAGTTTTTCAGAGTTAAATAATGTAAATATATACCCATTCATGGTAGGCAAAGCCAAAGGCTTTCTGTTTAGATGAAGAGTACGTGAATCTTTGGACAATTTTGAAAATGTTTTATATATTTTTTTTCTTCACTGCCACGTCCAAGTGAATTTGAGGCTTTTTATGGCTTTCTGTTTAGATGAAGAGTACGTGGATCTTTGGACAATTTTGAAAATATTTTATATATATATTTTTTTTCTTCACTGCCATGTCCAAATGAATTTGAGGCTTTTTACTGTGCCCCTCCCTTGTCCTCATATCATTGTTTCATTTTGTTTAGACTGTTTCATGCTCCTTTCTCTTGAGAGGGTTAATCTGATGTTTAATGAAAGCGTATGTGTTTTTCCTTCTAGGTCTAAATGTGGGGAAAGGGATGAACTGTCACCAAAGAGAATTAAACTTGAGGTACAGTATTGCAATTCCTGCAATTTGAGCTTTGCATGCTAAAACTGATTTTTGTTTTGAAGACTGGGCATCAGTGTAAAGAAATTTGTTAGGAAAATGTGATATGTGTGTGTGTGCATGTGTAAGAGCCAGAGTCCCCCTTGTCTCAGGAAATAGAAATGCTCAGAGGAAGAACCTGTGGGAGAAAGGGATCAGGATTTCCATCAAGGTCAATCTACTGTCCGTGTTTGCCCTCCCAAATGTGTAGGAGGGGAAGGAATGGGACTGATTGACTTCCTATGGTGGAATAACCCCAATTTATGGGAAATATCTTTCCATAAGGCCTATTGCTTTGAAGTAAGTATATTTTTTTAATCTCTTGAGTCAGTTTTGCATCATGCAGAGTGCTGAGCATTCTGGATAGCAATTAATGGCAGCATATAGGCTGTCTCTGATCCCTCTAAATTCTAAAGCCCGTAATATTGAGAAGTCAAAAGCTAAATAAAAGCTGTTTATAAATGCACATTGTTGGACTTGTAGGTATTGACTTACTATTTTTTTTTTATTATTTAATATAACGAGGATGTGTATAAACAACTATTGCTTACATCTGCATGAATTTTTGTTTGGGGAAATGCAAGCTTTCTTGGGAGTTATTTTTCTAGGAGTACAGGATCAGAATATATGTAAATTAACTATTTCTTGAGTTTCCACTGCTGAATAGTAAATTTGAGGCCTTGTCACTTAAATAAAAAGCATTAGAAAGGTATTCCTTATTTATTTTTAAGCTAATTATCCTTTCACTGTTACATAAGTATCTAATCTATTCAAAAAATATATTAAATGCAGATTAGCATATACAGTAGGCCTGTGCCGGAATTGCATGCCACACAGATGTGAAAAGAGTAAAGGATGTGTCACCTACCTAATTAATGCTGCGATAAGCGCTGCCTTTCTCAGCAGTCATGTAAGGCCTTCCTCAGCAGTGCCGTGTTGTGTTCCCCTGTGCGAGGGCTTTCTGCATGTGGCAGCTTCCAGAAAAGGTCCTTAGCTTTTAAAAAAGCCACTTAAGAGTTTTTGTTAAGCTTCCCCAGTTTGTGTGCGGTTGTACTCTGGGCTCATGTAATAACAACTGTGCATGTGTGTGGAGGGTCTCCTCGAAGCTTCCATAGTGACTCTGTAATGTCATTTAGATGCCAGGGAGGGGGTTGCTTTGTTAGATAGATGTCACCTTTAAGAGGTTTTGCCTTTGTTCAGAATAGGTGATGACCAAGTACCTAAAAATCCACGCAGGGAGCAGCGGAGCTCCGTTCATTCTGGAGTTCTTTGTTGAAAGAAAAGTGGAACTAAAGCTCTGAAAAATATAGTCTGGAAATTCAGGATCCAAGGGGGAGTGGCGCGAGGATTAGGACAAGCATAGGGATTGGGCATTCTCGCTTTCTGAACAGTGATATCGTAAATGCCCCTTTCCCTAGGGGGATCCTTCAAGATCAGTAGTGGTGAGATGGATGTTTACTTTTTTTTTTGTTGTTGTTAGTAAAATTTTAGCATAACTACAACTGGCTATTTCAGAAGGTTTTTCCACAACAAAAAGGAAAATTTTATTTCAGTGGTATAGCTTATTAACTATACAATATCTGGATCTTCTAAGGAGTGAGACAGTTGCTTTTTTTTTTAATCTGGGGACTATTGCACAGTGGATTATTTCTGCATGTGATATTTGAGTTTTGTGAAGGATGTGCTTAGGAAAAAAAAAAAAGCACATTGTTAGTATTATATTTAGGGATTTATTTTTAGAAAGGTGAAGGTCATTTTGCTTTTCTGTTCTAAGGCATTTTGAACTCTACGCTGATTCACCATTGCTTTGCCCATTAATCAGTAATGTCTCTGCTAAGCTTAGTCTAAAATGCTTGTGCGTGAATTTGGAAAGATTTTTATACCCTGTTTGCTAAGTGTAAAGGATTATTAAAAAAATCAATTTCCTAAAAATATATATTATATTTTAGGAAATATATTTTTATATTTAGGAATAAAAAAATCCTCCAGAAACATTGTAAAGGTCATGCTTGAGCAGAGCTCTGCATGCAGGCTTAAACACTGCTGCCTTTCATGCCCCACTGTATATTTATCCTTCTCGCAACTACAAAACTCAGGCGAGCCTTGCAAAAGAAACAATACCCCACGAACTGCATCCCATTAGCTGTAAGAAGCCTTTCTCTTCCCCGGTGTGCTCTCCCCCTCTTATTTGTGGAGTGGGTGGGCAGGTTGTGGGAGTGAAGTGTACAGAGAAGAAGGGAGGAAAAATTGCAGGCAAAGTCTGCATTGCACATGGGCTCGCAGAGAGTGAAGGAAGGTGCCGGGGGCATGAAATGAGGTACGGGGTGAACTGGGAGCTGGAACCGGATAGAAAATGAAGAGCTGCAGTTCCTTGATCTCCCCTGGAAAACAAGGCACGGGATAGAGCAGCAGGGATGGAAACGGTGTCTCCTCCGTGGGTGCCTTTGGGGCCCCCCTTCCTCTGTCGCCCTCAGTGACTCAGTACCGTGAGCTCCGAAGGCAGCAGTTCGGAAAGCAAAATGTGGCACGGGCGGGTATGGCAAAAGGTGCAGACAGAGGGGCCACGCTCCGTCCCTGCTGCTGTCCTGCCTTGTGGAGGAAGGGGTTGTCCTCCCAGGCACAGCGCTGACGGGCACGGGGCAGATGAGAGGAGAAGCGACGACCTTGCTGCTCCCTGCGGCCGGTGCTTCCAGCGGCTCCGTCCCGCTGAGCAGGGGAGCGGGGAGAGCTGCCAGAGCCAATTTCACAGGCTTGGTGGGAGTGAAACGGGGCATATGGGAACTGAAGGCCAGAGCGTAGGCTGAGAGGAGACGGCTCCGTTGGCGCCGGCGTGCGCAGAGGCAGGGGGGAGAGGGCCCTGCCCGCCCCCGTTGCTGCCAGGGAGGCTGCAACGAGAGCCCGTCCCCGCGTGGGAGCTGTGTCATCCTCGCGCGCACAGCAGAGGCAGGCGAGTCTACTGTTTGCCTAGGAAAAATGTCATTAGAGGGAGCGAAAAAGCACATGTGGGACTGAGAGCATCTGCTGTAGGAAGCTACGCAAAAAAACAACGGAGGCAGGAGCATGGTCAGCCGCACGTGCTGCCACGCGTGCAGCAGTGTCCCCTCGCCCGGCAGGGACCGGGAGGGCGCAGGACGGGTCGGCCAGGACTGCCTCTGGGCACCCTCCTCACTGGGGGCAAGGAGCATGAGAAGCACCTGGGAAGCTGCCTCTGGTTTTGGGTGGGCATGTGGTCGTAGATGCCTCTTACAGAGCCGTGTTCCCTCATTTGTTGCAAGTAAATGATCCCAAACGATAAGATTTTGAGTATTTGCTTTTTCACCGTCCTATGCATAGTCATTCTCTTTTCCCAAACAAATTCAGATCTGCCCATAAAAGTGACCAGTGTTTATGGGAATGCCCTGCAAAGTCTTTGGTTTTAGAGGATGAGATTTTGCAGCAGTTTACCCAGTTATGAAGTCTTATGCGCCTATCAGGTTGTCTTTTTCCCTGGGGAGATTGTGTCGGGCAGATAAAAGCAATAGACAGGGCTTGGGCAGGTTTTTTTCTCAAGCGTGAAGGTGACTTCACTGGCATTGCCCTGCTGGGACATGGGCTGGCAGCTCTGACCATCACCGTACAGGTTAGCGTGGAGCCCACCAGCTGCATTGACCTTGGAGTGCCCCTTCCATGGGGTTTCTCTGGAAGATAAGCTTTTTGCCTGCTCCAAAGGCATATGATTTCCCCAGCTATCATCAAAGATCTTACTCCTTGCGTTCCCGTGCCTTTGGAATCCAAAGGAAAATCTGTGTAGTTTGGCACGCGTTTGATACCTTGGGTCTAATGTTCTTCAGTAACGAATGTTGCCGTTTGGGGGTTTGGCACTCTCTTAAGATCTCCAGCTCCCTCTCCTAATTCAGCAAAGTCACCCACACTGCGCTTTTGTGCACGTTTATGGGTCTTCCTGTGCTCTCCATGAGCTTTCCCAGCTGAACAGGATAAACTCCTCATCTTGAACCTTCGCTGCAAGAATTTGTTTTAATAGCTTACCCGGCTTTCATGGGAACCCCATTTGTGCCTATGCAGGCTGCAAAGGATTTGCATGCCCTTTGAGACCGAAAGAATTGCTGAATTACGTGCATAAAGTTTTGGTAGTCTACCTGTAAAATGGTGGTATTTCTTGTGGTACCTGTGTGGTTCTTATGTGAAACGTGTTGAATCTTGTGAGGCCTTGCTCTGTTTCTTAAGGTTAATAAATGCAGCTGCTGCCCTACAGTCTTGACTCCATGTAAACTTAACAGGGCTGTGCAAGTGTGAAGTGTGTTTCATTTTGTGAAAAATGAATAATAATGTCTCCCTTGCTGTTTGGTTTCTCTTTTGCTCACTAGGATGGTTATCCTGACTTCCAGGACACAGTCCAAACACTCTATCAGCAAGACAAAATGCCCCTTGCTTTGGCTAAAGGGAAGAGTGAAGACTCAGCAGCTCTTAATTCTCAGGTAAATCAGCTACATGAGACTGAATAACAGAGGCTGAGTCTTTGTACAATGATTTTGATGCATTGGTATCTTGATCACATTTTATGTTTGATGGCTAAAGTTATCACCTTCAGTTTTCAAAGGTCGGCAGGGATTGCCCCACATTTAATTTGGATTTACATCCTAAAAATGTTCAGACACGGCTACAGCTCTACCCGTGCTCATTCTGGGGAGCTAAGCATCTAGTCTAGGGAAAGGAAAAACCGGTGATTGGCCCCCACGAGCAAGTAGGGTGCTGCTGGTACAGTGTGTGCTCACTTGCTCGTGATTTTAGCTATAAATGGAAAGTTCAAGATGTTGAGTCTAGTGGAATAAATAGAGTAGGTGATCTTGGAGTCATCAGTTCTGATCCTCCTTGTAAGGAGTGCCAGTGTATTTAGGAAATGGTGAGCCTTGGGGTCTGAGAGGACAGATTGCCTTTCTAAATAACAAAATGCAGTGCTTTTGGAATACCCAAAAAGCTTTTTAATCATCCTGAACAGATTTTTTTTCTTTTTCTTTTTTTTTGTTTGTTTTTCTCTAGTGTATCTCAGTCTTGAGTCACAATTCTTATTTTCGTACTCTCAATTGTTGCCAAGGAGGGATTTCCTGTTAAATTGCGGCATTTTTTTTTCTTTCTTTTTTTTTTTTTTTTTGGTATAGCTGATTTGGGTAAATATAATCACTAAATTATCACATAAGATAACATTCAGGAGTTGTCTTTTGAGACTGGATAGCTTTTCTTTTACTTTCTCGTATTGCAAAGTAGTGCTGTAGTGCAGTCATGCAAATTATGTTCATTGCGATATATGAAGAAGTGGTTGTGCTACGTGTTCTGATGTCACGTAACAGGCTGAGTAAATTTATTTTATGCAAGCTTATTTTAATCTTGTGTATGCTTTGAAGGTTTCATTGGCCATTGATATGAAACAACAAATAGAGATTTTAAGCCTCTGTACGTCTGTGGCTCTGTACTCTATTGCAGTTCAGGCAGCTATTTTATATTACATCAATAAAACAACATAACAGGAATAAGAATCTTAGCTTTTTTTATTACAAGTAAGTTTTACAGTTCTATAGTAGTAATAGACATGACACAGAAAAGCAAACTTAAAGCACATTTGAAAGTAAACTATTTGAAAACAGTTTACCCTTTTACCTACCTTCCAAGACCAAGCTTGAGGGCTTAGTGTCCTTCTGCAGAACCCGATGAGCTCTGAATCAGAGTCAAGAAGCAGCAGTCAAGTTATTACCCCCTTTTCAGAGCTGTCGCTGTGTGGGAGAAGTTGGATTCGGGCTGGCTGCTGATGCTGTCACTTTTTGTAAGGTATCCAACTGCAATGGGCAGGTGGACTTCTCTGGGAAGTCGGGGCTTTCGTCAGTTGCCCCAAAAAGTTAAGAGTGTTCTGCAAAATATTGTGTTTCTTTTTAATAGGCATCTCCACTCTGTGGAAACAATTATGAAAATACCTGAAAGGGAAACGATATTTCTTTTATTATCCCTAGGTGTTAATTTCTGCTTCTGTTCTCATGTTCATTCTGGCTCTCTCAGATCAACTTTTTTTTTTCTTTTTTCCACTTTGATTTTATTTTTGCAAGATGCTTATTTACATTCGGAAGAACGAGATTATATTGAAAGTTAAAATTCTCTGGCATTAAAGTCAATGACAAGCATTGAGACGCCGCTTCCTCCCACGTCGCTCTACATTGTTGGGTTTCGCTCGCTAGAGGTGTATAGGTCCTGTTCTTCTTCTAGACAGACATTTCACACCTTTATCCCCCACAAACATACTGTCATCCTACACTTTCAGGATGGCAGATTTTTAAGCTTGTGTAGTGCAGTTTCCTGAAATAAAGCTTCCAAGATGTCTGGTGAAATCTTGGCATAAGTTCTTCAGCAGATGTTGCCATTGCTCTTGGAATACTCTGTAAAAATGTATATTTGAGGAGAGCTCAAGTGGATAATTAAGACATTATCTTCTGATTTTGCTGCATTTCTTCCCGTGTAACCTGCAGTCCCAAAGGGCAGAAGGTGCATTTTCAAGGAACGGAGTTCAGCACCGTGTTTTCGCGTGCTTGAACCATGGCAATTGACATTCTTAGTCCTTTTGAGTGACTCAGAGATTTTCATACTGTACATCTGTGGGTGCAAAAATATTTTGTTTGCTTGATAGTTTTGAAGAAACTGTAAATCACACATCTGTACTTATGAGTCAACAAAAACGTGTATCGAGGCTGTTTAGCTTTATCATAAGACATTGTTTTTTTTCTCCTGTGTTTGACTCAATGTATGTATGTGTATATGTAGAGAGATTTTATTTCTTTTGCTCTATTTGCAGTCTGAAAAGGTGATGGCGAAACAGATGGAGTTTCTTTGCAACCAGGCTGGCTTGGAGAGGCGTCTCTCCACGGGGTGCTACCGGCAAAGCCCGGAGGAGCAGAGCCCCAAGGGCTTGGCCTTGGAGAGCGCCGACGGACAAGGTACCGCCGCCTCCGGGCACGCGCTGGGCGCTGGGCACCCGCTGTCCCCCCTGCTCTCATTCTGCTGTAGTGAAAAGACAGCAGAGTTTTGCACTGGGAGGAGGGAGGAAAAAAAAAAAAAAAAGGCTTTGTGGAAATGGAAATTAAAGCTTACAGTGAAGTTTGCACCACCTCTTGTTGACCTGTTTGTGCAGTCTAGGAACAAAACTTGAGGAGCTGGCTATGTAAATTACTTAGAGGGAAGCAGATTATAATGATCTTCATAGTTTGTTATTCTTCAGAAAGCTGATAGTTCAGGGGCTATCTCTGCAGTTCATCGAGTGGCCGTTCATTAGCCTGGATTTGTTTTAGGAGTGTTTGGGTTGGTTGAGCATGCTCTGCTTGGTTTTCTCTTTTTACTGTTGTGAAATGAGAGAAAAATGTTATAAACATATGCAAGAAATCCAAACAGAAGCTTTTTTGGTTTCTTTAAAGGCAAGTTTTCTTCAAGGAGGAAAGAAGAGCAGTAGAGAGAAGCTAAGGGAATAGATGAGCATTAATACATAGTGGTTCATTTGTGTATGTTGCTCAAGCAATGTAGTATACAAATATACAGGAAGAATTAGATGTGTGGATCCGGCTCCTCTTGATTGTGCAAGTTTCTTTGTACCATTATCCACTGTGGATTGTGACTGTTCAGGATTTCAAAGAGCTTTTTGATGATAATAAAAGATATTTTTGTATGACTGCCACTTTGTAACAATGCCTGTGGTCTGATAAGAGAATAGTCTGTGAAACAGCACATTTGTATAAGCCCTGTTTTGCTAGAAATCCCTGAGAAGTGCAATTTAGGACGTGTTTTTTCCGGTAGAGACTTAAAGAAACACCTAGACTTTTTTTAATATACTGCTTTGCTTTTAATGCATCAATATTTGATTGTAAATCTCTTCCAGGTGACAGGCCGCTGAATCTCCGCATGACCAACCTGCCCAGCAGGCAGTTGCCACACATTTCCCTCGATGGAGAACAGCACGTTGGAAAGCCTCTGTGCAGCGACTTGATCCGACTTTACCCCAGTGGTGAGGCAAAGTCCCAGTGCTCGGGTTAGTGCTGGCCCTTGTACATGATCCGCAGTTTTGAAGAGCGTAGCCTGTTCAGACATGCTCTACGTGTAACCTTTCAACCAAGGTTTTGGAGAAAATTGGAGAATAATGTTCCTTGCAGAACAGAGTGAACATCGGCTGGGATTAGCGTGGAAAATGCAGTTACTAGGTGCAGATAAGCAAGTTCTGCATGTCTGTCCTCATACAACCTCGTAGACTTAAACTGCTCTGTTAAAACACCACACTGCAATTAAAGCAACATAAGTTTGATTTATCCTATGGTTTCACTCTGCATAAATAATCACATTATAAGCAGGCTCTTCTAGAAAGGACTTTTTAACCTGGTTTGTGAAGACCTAGCATTATTTTTCTACTCTGGTTTAGTATATTGCAGTGCTAGCTCAGCTTTTATTACTATTTGACCCGATTTGTCCCAATCCCATTGGTTATTCCTCTGGTGAACTTTTAGTTAATGACAATTTATGAGTTTCCCTTCAAAACGCTAGCAAGGAGCGCATCTTTTCCAAGGCTTGCTCCCTGGGAGCGCTGCAGTGGATCTGTCATCGCTGTAACGTATGTGTGATTATGATCCATCTGGGGTAAAGCCCAGCAGGAGGAAGCAGAATTTGTTTCGCTCTTAGTATCCATGTAGTTCACGGACCTTTCTCTTGAATTAAGACTAGAATATATTTGTTTCGAGCAGTATTTTCTTTAACATCATCTTTTCTGTTCTTTTTAACACAGAGAGCCTTGGTATTTTGAAGGATTTTCCTCACTCGGCTTTTAACAACATGGAAAGGAAGGTCATAAAAACAGAACCTGAAGACACAAGATAGTCATTCTGCTTTGGATAATGATATAATAAGGAATGAAACTTCAGAAGAGGAGGAAAAAAAAAAAACACAACAAAAAAACAACCCAGCCTTAATAACCAGTGTTGCCTCGTTCAAATAAGAGATTTCAATAGCCAAAGTCTAAGAACTGGTACAGTAGTCTGTGGAAACAGAAAAGCAAGAGACAGTGCAAACTAAAACAGTAATACAGGTAGAATCACATTCCTGTAAAAGTGGTTTTATAACGTGGAAAGATTCACAAATTAATATTGTGGATCTTCATTATTTAAGAATGTATTATGTATTTGTATAACTTATCAAAGTAAATCTAGATGTCGGGACATGTATTGAGTCCAGTAGATGTGGCTACAGTTCATTTTACTTGAAATTTCAGTGTCTACTTTAAATGTACCTAGCGTAGATATGGTTGTTACACATTTGAATTAAAAATCCTTGGAGAATTAGGAATGCATTAGGAAACCTTGTGACAGAACAGCAAGTTTTCAACAATATTTGTAGAGAGGAGAAAAAAAAAAGCATAAAATATTTCATGGTTTAAAATGTTATGTGGATATAGCATTTGATAGACCCTGATCCTGTATTATAGCAGATGTACTTGACACTTACTATCGTTCCATGACTTTTAATGGTTTCAGCAGCCTTTGTGTAATACACTTGTAGTTTACTACCTATCTACCGTTCAGGAGAGTAGGAAAAGCCATGTAAAGTATGGAAGAGGCCATATTATTAGCTCCTATTTCATTGTGGAAAATTGTTTTTTGAGGTACTGTCCAATTGCTAAAATCTCATTTGATAGGAAACCCAAGAGATGAGATAGCATGGACAGGGCTGCAAAAATTGTGATTCAGATCACTATAACTTTTTGGACTTCTCTGTGGATTTTTAAATGATGAAATGCATCCTAGGTGTAGCACGGATCACATGTGATGCAGGATTTATGCATCAGTGTAAAAGGTTGCACTTGATATTCAGAAACCACAAGATGTTTTGGAGGAGAGAGATGGGGGGTTATATCTTGAGCATGTGACCCCTTATTAAGTGCTGTCCAGCTCACATGATTCTATGAATATATCGTATACTGTATACAGTATGCCAATACATTTCTTTGCGTTTAACTAACATCTGTATTCATTATTTATTTGACAGTTTTTATTTTTTGTACATTTTCACTTTTGCAGATGTCGTTTTACCTAAAGAGAAATAATTGGCGTGTAACTTTGGAATTGACCATGGCGTGTTCACGTGCGTTCATTTTTCTCTGTGCGGTCGCCCCCGTAAGAGGCGCTTGGCCGCGGCGGCCGCTCGCGGCCCGGGTTCTGGCGCGGGTTTGCCGGGGCGGGAGGGCCGCAGGACGCTCCCTCCCTTCCCCGTGCAGCGGGCGCCGCGGGCGCGCGGCCACCGGCCTGCTGGAACCACCAGCAAAACGCGAGCTGAAGTGTCTGCGCTGCAGTCTCTCATCACTGTAAACGTATCCACTTCCTTTATCACTTTTGATTTGTGGAAAAAAGCTTTATAGTAGAAACACCAGTAAACAACTTTTTATACTATTAAAATGTTTGTTTTTTAAAAAAAAAACAATGTTTCCTGAACTGTGTGGTATTGTTTCACATGCTGAAGTGTCTGACTTTAAGCCATGGAGTTTGCAGCTTTGCTGGCAGGAATAAGGGATTGAATGTGTAGGGGTAACACCTGGGTGAGATGTTTCTTCAGTGCGTGCAGTGGTAGCCAGTGCACTGGTCGGCACCCGAGGAGCTTTCATGAGACATGTGGAACTCATTAAAGGACAGATTGAGGGTTCAACTGTACACGCTGAGTTACAGAATGTGTCCAGTGAGAAGATTTTAAAGATGCAGGAAATGTGCTTTTTATTTTTTATTTTTTCCCAACATCTGATGCGGTCGCAAGTTGCGCGGGGGCCACAGAAGCAGCTTTCAAGCTTCCTGGTCTTCTCAGGTGTAGTGAGAGGAAAGAAGAACTTCCTAAGCAGCACGCTGTTTCAGTTGAGTCCAGAAGTTGTTTTGTAAACACTAATGTATTAAATTTGCTATAAATTAAAGTATATAACAGCGCTATTTTTGAGTTGTAAAGAGAGTACTTTGTGTCACAACCCGCTGGTCATCCAGAATGATGATATTGCAGTTTGTAGTACAACAGGCCATTGCAGTGTCAATAAGCCAGAAGCTTTTTTTTTTTTTTTTAACCCAGGGAGAGGCGGGGGGCTGAATACATTTGAGAGGGCACATATGGTCGATAATAGCAAATATTTCAGCGCTTGGTCTGTCCGAGACAGCGGCTCGCGAGGACGACCCTAGTCCCCGGAGTCCAGGGAGGAGATTTGCCCTCCTCTGCTCACCAAAGGGCTGCTAGATCCAGGATACTCTGGGGCCAAGGCCAGCCCTGCAAGCGATGCCTGTTCTTATTCACGTGTTCATATTGTTGCTTGCAAAATAAAATTCGCCGTGAGAACTCATTAGTTTTCCCAGGGTTGTTTATTATTCCTTTTTTTAACTTTTTTTTTTTTTTTTAAGGAACATGTTAGTATTCTTGAGGTAGGGGAAGAGGGAAGCCTTTTCCTGGTCTTGTGGTTGGCTTCTCCTTTACGGGTGGCCATGTTGTGTGCAGAGCCCGTGGGCTCTCAGCGCCCCGAGGCGCACGGGGAGGAAACGAAGCAGCGAGCAGATGTCCTCGTGGCTGTGCCTGCGGCGGGGCGCGTTTCACCCCGCGTCCCACGCGGCAGCCCCTTCCGCACGGGTGGGGAATCCTAGGGGAGGTGGTGTGTGAAAAAGGAAGGGGAGCAGCACAGAGGCCGAAAGCTTCAAAGAGAAGGAAGAGGCCTGCGAGCTGCTGGGCTGTGAGGGAAGCTGGGAGTGATCCCGCACGGAGGGTGCGGGCTGGGATGCCCTCCTGTATTCTCTCTGTCCAGTGCGGAGAGGATTAAGGTAGGAAACCTGAACAAATGGTTTAACGTGGCTGTTTCTTTTCCTCTATTCTTTCAGTATTGCTCTTGGCCTCGTCAGGGAGGGCAAAGCGGAACAGGATGGAACTATAAACGCTCTTGCCTCGACGTGGAAGGAGGAGGTAGAATTTGGCGTGCCGTGTTGCAGGCTGCACCCAAACGCCATGGGAAAACTTCCCGATTTATCGCTTGCTCTGGGCAGAGCAGTGACGGGCTTCTCCAAAGAAACAGGACTGGAAGGGAGGCTCTGTGCCTGCCACGTCACCGTGGGGCAAAGGTAACTGCTTCCAGGGTGCTGCAAAGCTGAAAACTGCGTGGCCCTTGACTGGAAAGCGTGGGTAGATCACACCCCTATTGCAGGATGGCTGTTAGTGCTAGATTTTGGGATGTGACTCCTCCTGCAGCCATGAGGCTCACTGGTGTATCAACTTGGTTTGCTGGGCATGCACCTAAGGCTCTCAGCTTTTTCCTCTAAACAAACAATTTAATTCGCTTGAGGGAAAAACGTCGGGTTGTGGCAAAGGCTTTGCTCCTGACAAGACCGCAAAATTTGTTTCCTTCAGAGCCTCATTGTCTGTTTTTGAAGTAAAAAAAGGCTTGTGCCCAAAACCTTAGTTTCAGACACAGTGAGGAGAGGCCTTGTGGCAGCCGAAGCACAGACGTAACTCGGTGCAAGGACGCGGGTTCCGCCAGCACCTTGGCTTCAGGCGGGATCTTTCTGTTCCCGCCCTGTAACGCTGCGTCGCAGCCGCGAGCTCGGCACTGCGCGCGGAGGGCTCTGGCAGCGAGGTGGACTGCGTAGTTCACAGAGAAGCTTCCTTCCCTCTTCGCCGCTCCTAGCCTGAGGCACATAGCCACGTATAGATGTATAGCGGTGACGCACACGCAGTGGAAAGGGTGAGGCGTGATGCGCTCTGAAACGGTGCGCGGGGGCGGCCCGAGCTGCGCAGGCGAGAGAGGAGCGTGAGGGACGGCGCGAAGGCTGCGCCGCCGCTCCGGCCGCGTCCGGCCGCCCACGGGGGGCACCGGCTCAACGGG